CCCCAAAACCCCAAAACCCCAAAACCCCAAAACCCCAAAGTGGGTGGCTGCAATCGAAATATAAATTTACTACTCAACAGTACAACCATGGGTGCCAAAGTTTGCGTATGAAGTAATAAGTCATCTCCATTAGGCAGTTCTAGCGGCAGCTATAGTAATAAAGAAAGTCCCCTCGCAACTTGTGTGGGAATAAGAGCTGATAAGAGCTTTGATAATAAGATTTTGGGATTTTTAGAGGAAGAAGAGGGAAAAAGGAACTGTAAATAAGTTTATATAGAGGATTACCTTGAAGCAAGGAGGAAGAAGAAAGAGGAACAACGTAAAGTAAGCAAACTAGGGGGATAGAAATGTAATTTTTGTAGGAAAGTGAGGAATTGATAGAAGGTAACGACCACTCCCAGGAATTTTTGGAGCAAAGTAAGAGAGGTAATTGGGATGTTTGAGATAGACTTATAGGATCAAAGAGCTTGAGTAGTGTTTTATGCCATACAATGAGTTTTCGGACTGAGAAAGAAGAATTTGTTTCTCAAGATTACCTAAATAATGAAGAGAAATATGAGCTGTTCGAAGAATTTAAGAAGGACAACGAGTCTTGGAGCGATAAGGAATCTTTTGCTAGCAAGAGTATTCAGAAGCTATTATCAATCCACATTAATGAAGAACCAATCAAGAATTATTACAAGATTGGCAGAGTTCTCGGAAGTGGGAATTTTGCCGTAGTGAAACATGGTGCTAGTCTAGGTAATGCATGATTTTGATGATGTTGACTTTTTAATATCTAAAATTGCATTACATCCTAAATATGATTGAAGCTTAATAATTATGTATAGCCAATCCCTCCTTCAAAGTTGCGATTAAGATCTACAAACTTGACGGGAGTGATAATGAACTCCTATCAATTTTTAGGGAGATCTCTGTCCACCAAAGCTTTGATCACCCAAATTTAGTTAAGATACATGAAGTGTTTAAGCAAGATAAAAAGTTATATATCGTCTGAGACCTTGTCAAAGGTAGAAGATTGTACGATTACATACTTGATAGTAAGAAAATATCTGAAGAAAATGCCAAGATTATTGTGAAACAACTGCTTAAAGTCCTAGAGTATAGTCATTCAAAGAATATCATGCATCGAGATTTAAAGCCGGAGAATGTTATTATCGAACCCTCTACCCTACAAATAAAAGTAATTGACTTTGGTTCTTCAAGCTATTTCTCCAACTCTAATAAACTCAAGACCTGACTTGGAACTCCTTTCTACATAGCACCAGAAGTTCTGGAGGGAGAATATACTCAAACTGCGGACATCTGGAGTATTGGAATCATAACATATCTGATGCTAACAGGATGTCCTCCTTTCCAAGATGAGGATTTTCAGATTATATACCAAAAAATTTTGAATGAGCCTTTGTGCTTCTATCGTGACCAATGGCTATATCTAACCCAGAACGCAATGAAATTCGTCAAAGAACTTCTAGTCAAAGATCCTCACAAGAGGATCTCTCTCCAAGATGCTCTTGCCCATCCATGGCTACAGAATATCCAAAGTCCAGAATACTCAATTCCCTTGGAGATTTTCCAAAAATTGACTAACAGGCCACCTCTGAATATTCTGAAGAGGGAAATGCTGCTTTTGACAAAGTCTCAGCTCAACCCCAAAACAGTCCTGAAGTGGAATACACTTTATGAGAAGATCTACTCCAAAAATGCAGGGATGGCTAGTTCTAAAAAATTAGAAAAGATTGCTAAAAACACCAAGGTAGTAAAAATGGGAAGCAATAAGGATTCAACCGATTTTGTTCTCAAAATTTATGACCGAAATCATAAATTTATATCTTATTCCGACTTTTTGGCAACTGTGATCGACTTCCAGAGCGATATTCCGTATTTTAGCATGAAATCTGTACTTAAGCATATGGGGCTAGGGTCTCAAGAAGAGATTTCGTTGGATGATATACAAAGATATCTCACTAGAAGAGGCTACCAAGACCATTTTGAGATGGTAAAAGCACTCCAAACCCAAATTTTAGAAGAACTTACAGATCAAGGGGATAATAGCTTGTTACAGCTTGATATGATATGTCAGGGCAGTCAGTCTGAAGAAAGTGGTAAGCCTCTCCAGGCTTTTTCTATCATATCTTAGATCAATCTTTAAACCTGGGCAATAATTTAATCTAACACATTTTAGGCAGTTGAAGCAAGATGTAGAGAAATGAATGTTAAATCAGTTAAACTGACTTCTAAAGATGCCTTCTTGTTTATAAATTTACTTTTGTTAGTTAATCTAAGCTTTAAATATGGCTATTGAGAATTTCTACCAATTTTTGGACATACTGAAAATTTATTGACAGCTGATTGCTAATTTTAAATACTATTGGAGATGATTAGGTTTGTAATTCTTCAAAACTTCATTACATTCTCTTCACTAACCAAGAAGCATTCATTATCATTTCTCTCTTCTTACTACTCTTAATCTCTATAAGATTAGTATTCTGTGGGTTTACTCAAACAAGTTTTTTGCTTAAAATCTCATAAAAATTACATGTTCACAACAAAATCATAATTTTCACAATTTTCTAAACAGGATTAGTATTGCAAATTGCAAGTTTTAATATCGATATTTTCAACATGATCTTTACCCCTAGGGGTTTTGGGGTTTTGGGGTTTTGGGGTTTTGGGG